ACTCTTTCCAGTAGCGCTGCTACCCAGCTAATGCAACAGACTCCATCCTCTTTTTATTGCCCCACAATACTCTTACTCACTAAATAAAAAGAATTATTCTGTTACTCTGCAGCACCATTTCTCCTCACTTCTCAGGGTGGTCTGCCTACTCTGCAGCACTGCAATGACAAGGGGCTCACCATCTGATAGGCAATACTTGGAAAATCTGAAGCGTCTCAAATCTGTCCACTTGGTTGGTCTGCCCTGCCACACCGAGCATTTGGCAACAAGACCAAGTGCCTCAGGAAATTTAGTAGGTTCTTGTCATTAAAAAAATAAAAACCACCACACCAGAAACAGTAAAGAACAAAAGGATCTCTCATTTCCACTGTTCAAGTATTTTGGGCAGAAAGAGGAAAAAAAAAATCAGTTGTTTGTTCCCACTTTTCTCTCCTTCCCTTTATCCCATACTGGCAATGTTCCTGAGGCAAGGAGTGAACTCTGGGTCAACTCAATGTGTACACACTCAGGGCAGCTCATTGCTAGCCATTTAGCGGCCTCTCTTTCCCCAGACAATAAACCCCCTTGGCTTCTCTTCCTCATTAGTAACTGGAACAAACACCCACTTCACTTCTAGACACAGAGTAGCCTTGCAACACCATCAAGAAAATTTACCAGCCTGAAGAACAATATCTATTCATCCATCCGTTAACTGTTACGGATTGAGGATAATGAAAAACTAACGATCGCTCCTGTCGCTGGCCAAAGAATGACTCACCCAGGCAGTCAAAGCAGATTCCTGCAGAACTGCAACAGGGGCTGCTCTGAACTTGGCTTACGACGTTCCTAGAGCAGGGACTCTTCCCTCATCGCTCATTTAGTGCCTTGCACAGCAGGGTCAGTGGCTGGAGCCCCTCAGCCTGCTTTTAGCAGTAAGAAACATAACAACAGGAGTTGGCATACACACAACCCCTGTGGCTCCACTGCCACACCAAATGTTCGCTTGGGATGAACTCCTCTGTCTTGACAAGATCACACAATTTCCCCATCAGGAAGCTCCATCTCTCAGCCTTTTCCAATAGCCCCCTAACAAACACTGCCTTGAAAGCAAACATCTGGGTAAGAGCAAGTGTGTGCTGGTGCTCAGCACAGACATGTACCTGACATACCTCCTGTGGGAGGCCAAAGAGAAGATAATATAGAATAAGAGGTGCACTCATTTCTTATTCTTAGTAGATGGGACAGACCCCATCACCCTCAGTGAGCAGAAGCAAGGCACAAAGCAGTTGCTGAGTGCTGCAGAAGAGTGTCCCGTGAAAGGAGCATCGCTGCGATCAGCAGATCGGCATGACTTGGAGCCAAAGCCAGAGTGACATCTGTCCCCCCCAGCCACCACGTGTGGCAGGAGTAACCAAAGCAATGCACTCACACTAGGTAGATTAAAGAGCAGGCCAGGAGCTTCCAAAGCAGCAACACATCAGATGCAGCAACGTGACAACAACCAGGTACCTGCTGACACTGACACACCCACTGACAACACACACTGCTCGGGGGAGTAAAGTTGCTGTCCCTTCGCCCTTGAGCAGCAGAGTATACAAGGTGTCCTCAGCATCATCTAGTTGTATGTTAGCTGGTCCTGCCCAAAAGAGTAATTATTTATCCAAATACATTGGAAGACATGAGGGGAAAAAAAGAGTCAACTCTGGAATAAAACATCAGAAGATAATAAGGTACTTGCCAACTGGGAGGCTCCCAAGCCCAAATGAACTTCAAAGGTGATGGGATCGCCTCTCCCATTAATAAGGTCACCAGAAATTACTTTTAGGCCTGACCCACAGGCCTTCCCAACATCTGACAAAAGGAAGCTGGGATGGCAGTGGTGGAAAAGTGCCTCCAGTAGGAAATCAAAAGGTAGATCTCCACCAAGGTTTGGCTCCACAAGGCACCCAGTTAACATGACAGTTCACTGCAAAGGGCAAGGGAGCTCCTGTTCCTCCTGTCTCCCCACATCTCTGCTACGATCAACCATACACTACCCTGACTGTGTGCTAGCTCAGATTCTCTTTGGAGCACTTCTGTGCTTCACCTTCTGTCACCTCCTGTGACCAAGCTATAGCTTGCTGACAGTTTCAGACAAAACAGCTCATGGAAGGGGTCCAACACACACCCAATCTGGTACAAGGGAGGTAA